AATGTGTTCCAACTCCTGTCCAACTCAGGCCCAAATCGGACTGCTCGCGGAAGTTGACTGGAACAGCGTCGAAGAGGCACGCACACGCACACATACACACACAGTCAACCATGATAGTAAGGATGGGGCAACTTTCCGTGGCTACCCTTGCATCCTTGCCCCTTCGGTATTCGGCATCCTCTTGCGTTCTGCTGCGCTCCGCACGGAAAACGTCAACAGGGCGTTCCAAGGCCCTTGCATCCTTACCGCGCATCCTCACGATCCTGGTCGAGTGCACGGTGCAGCATGGCGTGCAACCAGGGTGCGCCGAGAGAGTTCTGGGAGCGAGCTGGTGGCCTCGGAAGGGCCTCTTCGGGCCATCCTCGGTGCCCGCGTGCGGACGAGGGAAGCTGGATGAGGAGGGGGAGGGGGAGGAGGGGGAGGAGGAGGGGGAGGAGGAGGAGGAGGGGGAGGAGGAAGTAGACGACGGCGACCACGACGACCGCGACGACCATGACGAGACGACGAGGAAGAGGAGGAACGAGGAATGGATGACGACAATGGCAAGGACGAGGAGGAGGGGGAGGAGGACGAGGACAACGAGGACGAGAACAGGGCTCTCAGCATCGCCTCTTGGAGTCCTCTTGGGGCCGTCTTGGGGCCCTCTTGAGGCCCTCTTGGGGGCCCCTTGGGAGCCTTGGAGGGCCTCTTGGGCCATGTTGGAGGCCATCTGTCAAGAGGGGGGCGGTTTCGATTGGACCCCACCCCCCTCCTTGGGGACCATCAACATCGCCTCTTGGGGCCTTCTTTCTTTGGGCGCTCTTGGGCCGCTCTTGGGCGCTCTTGGAGCCGTTTCGGGGGCCTCTTGGGTCCCTCTTGGGGCTCTCTTGGGCCACTGTGGGACAACCTCGGGGCCTCAACAGCGCATCGCAAGCGAAAAGGTGAGAAGGCAAAAAGCAGTGATCGTCCTTCGGTGTTTAAAGGATTTGGGCCTCTTCGGAGGGTGCTCAGGGGGCTCCGAGAGCACTAGGAACGTGGCCCTCGTCGGGCCTCTTGGAGGTATGTCGGACGCTATCTTGAATCATCTTCAGCTATGTGGAGTTGCCTTGGAGGTCATCTTTCAGTATCCGAGGTCATCTGAGAGTCATCTTGGGCCATCTTGGGCGCTCTGACACCTCGCGGCCCGCCCCAAATAAACCTCAGGGAGGGGAGGAGAAGGGTACCCCTCCTCGAAGGGCCGAAGGTTTTGGAAGAGGACGGAAAGATATCGCTAGACTACCTTAGCCCAAAGGGCTGTTGGAATTGATGTCGAAAGTAGGTCGCGTGATAGTTTGTGTCCTGGTGTCGCAGCCTCCGAGATCCCAGGATCGTCCCACGATGTCACTGCAAGAGCGCAGTACAAGGCCCAATGCAGTCCAAGAGGGGAAGAGCACCAGATGGCCCCAGGAGAGCCCTGCGCGGAGGGGGCACAGTGGGTGACGCCAGAGGAGGCTCCCCGAAGAGCTCGACACTGAAAGTTTCCGCAATGTGCACAACAGCTTTGCTGCAAGAAAACGTTTCCAGACGGTCCCACGAGGGCCCGAAGAGACCGAGATTCTTCAAACGTGGCCCCGAGAAGCTTTGAATACAACCAAAGCGGGCCCAGCTATAGCCGCGATGGGTCGGGTGAGCCTCGAAGCAATCCAAGAAAAACGGCACGACTGCCACGCGTAGGCAGAGGAAGAGGAAAAAGGAGAGAGGAAGAACAGCAACCGGAGCGCCGGAAGGAGCAGGAGGAGCAAACGGAACCCTCGGAGGAGGAGGAGGAGGGGGAGAAGCCCTCGTCTCTTCATTCTTGCCCCCCACCCCGTCTGCCTGATCCTTTTCGTTTTGCATGCTCAGATGTGCTCTCTGCAGATGTATCGGAAGCCGTTCCTGCTCAGGATTCTGTCTCGCAGCGGCGACCCCCGCGCATTGTTGGACAATGGCCTAATGAGGGGTCTTAGAGCCCATTGTTGCGACAGGGGTTCGTTCGCTCCTCTGCTTCCCCCGTCCCCGCGCCCAGCTCCTCTGGCCCATCTTACTCCTGGGTTCCCTTGGGCACCTCGCTCCCCATAAGCGACACGTGGGCCACGATTTCAGGCGAAGCGGAGCGAGCGTTCAACATCTTGTTCGTATAGAGTATAAGCAAGTACCGCCCCCCGCTCCGTCAAGTTCGTTACCATCGGCGGCAAAACCCCGGTACCACCCTCCCGGTTTGTCCAAGGAGCCCCGGAAGGGCCTGAAGACGGCCCAGGATCCCCCCGAGACAGCCCAAGAGTGCTCCAAGGCTGTCCAAGCCAACCCCCTGACGGGCCTGCAAGCCCCCAAACGCATCAAGATCGCCCCAAGAGGCTTCCAAGAGTACCCCGAGAGCTCTGGGGAAGCCCTCGAGAGGCCAACAAAATCATTGAACAACCAGCGGGAAATCAATGATGATATGTTTTCTCCCGCTTCGGCCTCCGACACGCTTCGGCGGCTTGCGCATGCCCCCAAAGAGAGCTCCAAGAGGCCCCCAAGGGGCGTCCCGAACGGCGCGAAGTGGCCCCAAGAGGCCTCAAGAGGTTCCCATGACGCCCGAAGGGGCACCTCCGAGGCCCCGGATGTAGGTTCCGAGAGCATGCCCCAACGAGTTCCCAGGAGCCGCCCCAGATGTACCCAGCGCCGAACAGGGCCCCGAGAGGCCCTCCAGAACTCCCAAGAGGCCTCGAGGAGAGCTCCAAGATGCCCCCCAAGTGGCTCCTTCTCCTTGCTCTCCTCCCTCCTCCCCGCTGCACGATTTTCCCGTCTCTCCCTCACGCCTCTCTCTCCGCTTCCCTCATGCGTTTCCGTCTCCCCCATCCCTCATCCTCATTTTTCTTTCATGCCTTCCTCCCTCTGCCTCCCTCACCCAGCATCCTGCTCCACTATGTGGTGGGAGGGACAGCTTCAAAAAAGGGGATTCACCCAAATCCTATTTTTAGGGTCTACCTCCCCTCGTTTCCTCCTGTCCCAGGCTTTGGCGTGCCCTCGAGTGCTTTTCCAGTTTCCCTTATCCCTCGCTGTCCAGTCTCCCTGATCTCTCTTTTTTGCTCTTGGTTCTCTTCCGTCTCCCGTTCCACATCCTTTTCTTTTCTCTCCTCCCGCCTCCCCGCTGCCTCATTTTCTCTCCTCCCTCTTCCTCGTCCTTCCTTCACGCCTTCCTCTCTCCGCTTCCCTCATGCGTTTCCGTCTCCCCCACCCCTCGCTGTTCGTTCTCTCTGATATGTTCTTTGCTCGTGGGTGCCCTGCGTCTCCCGTTCCACGCTCTTCTCCTTCCTCTCCCCCTCCCTCCTCCCTGCTGCGTCCGTTTGCCTGTTTCCTCCTTCACGCCTGGGTGTGCAATGATTGTTTGCCTCTCGTGGGCTTTCCCGAGGCCCTTGGAGGCCTCTTGGGGCGATCTTGGGTGCTCTTGGGGGCCTCCAGAGCCAATTTGAAAAGAAGGGAATTCCCTCAAGTCCTTGCTTTTTCAAGCTCGACCCGCCCCCGTCGTTCCTTCCTGGCCCAGGCTTGGGCATGCCCCCGCTGTCCGTTCTCCCTGATCTTTATTTCCTATTCTTGGTTCTCCTCATCCCGTTCCACATCCTTCTCCTTCCTCTCCTCCTCCCTCCTCCCCACTACGTCATTGTCCCTCTCTCTCCTCCTCGTCTTTCTTTCACGCCTTCCTCTCTCCGCCTCCCTCATGCTTTTTCGGCTTCGCAACGCTCCGAGACGGCCCAAGAGGTCCCCAAGACAGCACCAAGGCAGCCAGCCCAAGAGTTCCCCGCGACGGCCCAAGATGCCGCCAAGACGGCCCAAGAGGCCTTCAAGACGTTCCCAAGACAGGGGCAAGAGCGGGAATCGAAACCGACACTTCGAGCCCAGACGCCAAGAGCCCCGGGGAGGCCCCCGAGGCGCCACCACACGGTAACAAGAGGGCACCGGGAGACCCCGAGCAAAAACCGGGGGCGGTCCCCCCCGCCAGAGACCCCCAAGAGCCCTCTGAGTTGCCTCCGCGGGCAACGCCGTCGCCACTGCTGGTTCCGCCTTGTCCGCCCTGGCCAGAGCACACAGCAGGCGAGGTTTTGGAGTCGAGTTTGAAGGGAGGAGGGGTTAAGAGTAAGAGTAAGAGTCCCAGGACGGATGTCCAATTGAGAAGGAGGAGGAGGAGGCGGAGGAGGAGGAGGAGGAGGAGGAGGGGGAGGAGGGGAGGAGGGGGAGGAGGGGGAGGGGGGAGGAGGGGAGGAGGAGGAGGAGGAGGAGGAGGAGGGAGGAGGAGAGGGGGAGGGGGAGGAGGAGGAATGGGAGGAGGAGGAGGAGGGGAGGCGGGCAAAGCCCAGGAGGAGTGGGAAGACAAGACATAGCAGGAGTCCAACCGAGGAGCAAGACACATGTATGTATCTCCATGTGGAGGTCCGCGCGGAATTCCTGGGTCGGCGCTGAACCCCTTCACCGCTACCCCTGGCGGCGCACCCAGCGCCGCCCCCTGTGCCCTCCGCGCGCCGGTAAAGGAAATGTTGGGACGGGGGCCAAGCGTTGTCCCAAGACATTTGCGCGTACCTCCCAGAGCTAATCCTTCCCAGCCCTCCTGTGTTGGGCTCTCGTTGGGAGTAGACCGCTGCCTTCGGTCTGCAGCCTTCCATCCCGCCTGTGTGTCCCCTCCTCCGCCATCGCCCTCCTCCTGCCTGCTGCCTCCTTCCTGCCTCCTGCCTTCCTTCATGTTCAGCTGCCCCCTGGCTGCCTGCCTGCTGCCTGCATGCTGCCTCCTCCCTTCCCTTCCTTCTGCCTGCTGCCTCCTCCTTCCTCCATGTTCTGTCACCCTGCTGGCGCAGCGTCCTAGGCCGCGCTGTGCTCCACGGCCCTTGCTGTCCAGCACCCGCGTGCGCTCCGACCGCCGCGGGCCTCTTCGGACGCTCCGTAGCCATTCTGGCTCAAGCCATTTTAGCTCAAGAGCGCCTTGAGACTTATGGTCTGGCGGGCTTGGGATACGGCGCTCGGCGGTTCCCATGGCAGCTGTGGAAGACCGCGCCCCGCTCATCTGGTCGGGGGGGGCGGAGAACGACGACTTTTCGCGCCTGCTCAAGGAAAGCAAGACCAATTGCGATTGGCAGAACAACTCGGCCGAGAACTTATTCGAAATAGAGGATGAACCAACGATTGAGTACGATTTCGAGGTCAAGGCACCGCGAATGATCGACAGTTTGCTGACGCTTTGTTCTGTCACGACATTCATTGCAGGCTTCGTGGCGGCTGATTTCTCCGAGTTTGCCATGGACGACTGGGAGGACACACACTGGGTATGTCCTCACGTGTACATGTGCATGCTAGCATTCGCTGAAGGTTGCTGCTTGTACCTGTCGGTCTGTGGTACTATTGCGGGTGCGACTTACCAGCGTGCCGCTAACCAATTGGCCAAATGGCCTGACCTTTTGGGAGCAGCTTTCGGGCCGATCACAAGCAACCTTGGTCTTCTCAAAGGTCGACGGCTGGAGGCGTACAAAGCTGCAGCGGCAGAGGTCCTCAAAACAGGATTCCATGGCGATTGGGCGCGCGATCTCATATATTCAGGACTTGCAAAGACCGCAGATGACATTACCGCCGAAATTTGGATCGTCAGGAAATTCGAAGGCAGCGAGAATGGAGCGAAACCCACATCATGGATCTTGCATGTGGAAGATCCAGCTTTCAGGCTTGGAACCACACTTGGCTTCAAATTCGTTACTGGTATGGTATTCCCGGTGGCGATTCTGGCTTACCTTCTCGCACAGACCTTGAAGGCATTGAAAGGGGGAAAACTCAGTATGATTTCAGTGGTGTTGCCCCCAGTCTTGTATTGGATGGTCAAAATGCTCGGCGACCTGAAGAACATGTACGCAAAGATCCGTGATTGAGGTTGAGCTTAGTGGCACTGGCGACCCGCTCCAGAATTGAGGTGAATTTGTCCTGCTCTGCCTCTTCTCTCTCTCTCTCTCTTTCTCTCCCTCCTCCTCCTCCTCCTCCTCTTCCTCCTCCTCCTCCTCCTAGTCTTCCTCGTTTCGTCCATGACTGCAAACACCACTGCTCAATCTATACAGTTGCTCCGTCGAGTGGCGACCTCTTTGCGTCTTCAGAGCGCCGCGGGCGCAGATGACACCGTGCGAGGAGATGGCTCCTGTTCGGGCTCTGAATGACACAACTCTTGTTGTCTTTCAGGGTGCTGTTTCGTCGATGTTTTCCATCGCCGCTCCAGGCTGTTTGATATCATTGCGCTTGTCCTGTTGTGCTTTTGACTTCATCCGAACCAGCCCTGAGAGGGGCCTCGCCCACCTCCAAAGGCGTATGTGGGCCTCTTCGGACGCGCTCCTGCGAGAGGGGGACGGAGGCTTTGGGGCGCTTTGCCTCGAGTGCTTCGTCTGTCAGGCGATCGCAGACATGGATCACGGAGGCGTGGATTAGCGACGGGTCCCGTTTCCATGCGAAATCGCGGATTTCCGCTGCCGAGCGGGGCGGCACCGGCCGCATTTCGGGGAGGGCACATCCCCCGATCCATGGATTTGGCGACCGCGCGCCAAATCCATGGATCGCTAGTCCATGTTTGCGCGTCCCCGAGTCTGGGTTTTACGGTTTACCGGCTTCTTCTTGAGACGGCTCGCGCATTCCCGTATCGAAGACGCCTACGGCGAATCCCGCCGCCGTGCCTGGGTTGTGGGTATGAGGCTTGTTGGATGGTCGTTGGGATCTCGTGGGAGGCCTCGTGGGGGCCTCTCGGGGGCCTCTTGGAGGCAGTGTCGAGGCCTCTCGGGGGCTGTTTGGGGGCCTCTTGGGGCTTCTTTGGGGCCTCTTGAGGCTGCCTCGGCGCCTCCGGGGACCGCCTGGGGGCCTCTTGGGGCGGAAGGCTCGGATTTTCGGTTCGTGATCCCTCCCTTGGGCCGCTTTTGGGGCCGTCTTGTGGCCCTCTTGGGCCGTCTGGGAGCCCTCTTGTGCCGTTTTGGGCCCCCTTGGAGGCCTCTTGGGCCGACTTGGGGCGACCTTGGGGGCCTCTTGGGCCGTCTTGGAGCGTCGGGAAGCCGAATAGACGAGAAAGCTGACACCATTCAACTACCCAAGGAAGATCAATGAGATTTGCCTCTTGGGAGGCCTCCTGGAGGCCTTTTAGGCCGTCTTGGAGGCCTCTTGGGCCGTCTGGGGGCCATCCTACTCTAAAGCGAGCTGAGGGACGGAAGGAGCGGAAGCGAACGTGCGCCCGTGGCAGCGTCGGCTCAAGCGGCCGGCCGCCCAAATATGACTGCGCCTCATTGCGAGGCACACATCGCTATCGAGACCACAAGGATCTTCCTATTGCTTAAGGTGGCACGTCCTCTCCTTTTGGGACTATAGTATAGTTACTACGGTACAACAGAGCTGGAGCTTGGCTTCGCCTAAGGCGAAGCTGTTGGCTGGGCCTCCCAGTCCCCTTCAAACTTGGTAGCGGAGCTGGCATATGGTGGTCAGCTCTTGCTCAGCTCTACTCCTCACCCTGCTGGCGCAGCGTCCTAGGCGGCGACTCTGCGAGAAGGCACGCTGCGGGACACCTCACGGCGTGTCTCGGGGCGTTTTGTGCCGCGCTGTGTTCCACGGCCCTTGCTGTCCAGCACCCGCGTGCGCTCCGACCGCCGCGGGCCTCTTCGGACGCGCTCCTGCGAGAGAGGGACGGGGCATTTTGGGCGCTTTGCCTCGAGTGTTTCGTCTGTCAGGCGATCGCAGACATGGATCAAGGGGGCGTGGATTAGCGACGGGTCTCGCTTCCATGGGAAATCGCGGATGTCCGCCGCCGAGCGAGGCGGCACCGGCCGCATTTTGGGGAGGGCACCTCCCCCGATTCATGGATTTGGCGACCGCGCGCCAAATCCATGGATTGCTCATCCATGTTTGCGCGTCCCCGAGTCTGGGTTTTCACTTTTTCAGTGCGGTTTACCCGGCTTCTTCTTGAGACGGCTCGCGCATTCCCGTATCGAAGACGCCTACGGCGAATCACCGCCTCCCCTTGTTTTTTTGGAAGCGCCTGCGTGGCCGAAAGTTGGGTTTGAGCTTGGCCAAGCTATCAGGCCACGCGTTCCCCGAGTGGGTTTCGAAAGTTTTCGGGAACCACGGGAGTCGGGCGAGCTATCTGACCAGGTGGTTTCCGAGTTTTCGGGCCTCCTGGAGGACGTCTTGGAGGGGTCTTGGGCCGTCTTGGAGGCCTCTGGCGGGCCTTTTGGGCAGTCTCAGGCCATCTTCAGGACATCTTGGGCCGTCTAGGGTGCATCTTGGGGCCATCTTGGCCGTCTTGGAGGCCTTCTTGGCCGTCTTGGAGGCAATCTTGGCCGTCTTGGAGGCTATCTTCGGCGTCTTGGGGGCCTCTTGGGCCGTCTTGGGACCTTCTTGGGGCCCTCTTGGGGGGCCATCTTGGAGGCCCCTTGGGCGCTCTTGGGGCGATATTGGGGGCCGCTTGGGCCGTCTTGGGCCGTCGGGGAGCTGAACAGAAGCAAAATCCACAATCCTGGAAACACCTAAGGCAATTCAATGATTTTGGCCTTTTCGGGCCCTCTTGGAGGATGTCTTGGAATGCGCTTGGGCATCTAGGAAGCCATCTTTGCCGTCTTGGAGGCCATCTTCGGAGTCTTGGGGGCCTCTTGGTCCGTCTTGGGGCCTTCTTGGGGCCCTCTTGGGAGCCTCTTGGGCTGTCATGGAGCCATCTTGGAGGCCTCTTGGGCGCTCTTTGGGCGATGCTCGGAGCCGCTTGGGCTGTCTTGGGCCGTCGGAGAGCTGAACAGGAGCAAAAGCCACAATCCTTCAAAAACAAACGGAATATCAATGATTTTGACCTTGCCGGGCCCTCCTGGAGGACGTCTTGGAGGGCTCTTGGGCCGTCTTGGAGGCCTCTTGCGGGCCTTTTGGGCAGTCTTAGGCCATCTTGAGGCCATCTTGAGGCGTTTTGGGTGCATCTTGGGGCCATCTTGGCCGTCTTGGAGGCCTTCTTGGCCGTCTTGGAGGCATCTTGGAGGCAATCTTGGCCGTCTTGGAGGCTATCTTGGTCAACCTCGTGGCCTCTTGGGCCGTCTTGGGGCCTTCTTGGGGCCGCTTCAGGGGCCTCTTGGGCCGTCCTGGAGCCGTCTTGGAGGCTTATTGGGCACTCTTGGGGCGATCTTGATGGCCTCTTGGGCAGTCTTGGGCCGTCTGAAGGCCGAAAAAGGAGCAAAAGCCACCATCCTTCAAAAGCTCAAGGAACATAAATGAATTTTACCTCTTCGGGCCGTCCTTGAGGACCCTGGAGGGCCTCTTGGGCCGTCTTGGAGGCCTCTTAGAGGCCTCTAGGGCTGTCTTGGGCCGTCTTAGGTGTTTCTTGTGCGAACTTGGAGGCATCCTGGACTAACTCTCTTGGGCCGTCTTCGAGGCCATCTTGGTCCATCTTGGGCGAACTTGGAGGCCATCTTGGAGCCGCCTGGAGCCGAACAACCCGTTGCAGCCACCTGTTGTGCACCTCTGCGCGCCCCCTTCGGGGACCCTGGCGGGATCGGCCGAAGCCCCAGGGGGAGTTCTTTTGGAAAAAGAAACAACACCGAGTCCGAAAGGGTGCAGCACGCCGGGCACCCCTGCGATGAATCAACAGGGGGCGGCGAATCGAAGACGCCTACGGCGAGTCACCGCCGCCCCCTGCCTTTTTGGAAGCGCCTGCGTGGCCGAAAGTTGGGCTTCAGCTTGGCCAAGCTATCGGGCCACGCGTTCCCCGAGTGGGTTTCGAAAGCTTTCGGGGAACACGGAGTCAGGCGAGCTATTGGACCGGGTGGTTTCCGACCTTTCGGGTTTCCTGGAGGACCTCTTGGAGGGGTCTTGGGCCGTCTTGGAGGCCTCTGGCGGGCCTTTTGGGCAGTCCCAGGCCATTTGAGGCCATCTGGGGCCGTCTTGGGTGCATCTTGGGGCCATCTCGGCCGTCTTGGAGGAAATGTTGGCCGTCTTGGAGGCCACCTTGGAGGCCGTCTTGGGCTCTTCTTGGGGCCCTCTTGGGGCCCTCTTGGGCTGTCATGGGGCTATCTTAGAGGTCTCTTGGGCGCTCTTGGGGCGATGTTGGGGGCCGTTTGGTCCGTCTTGGGTCGTCGGAGAGTTGATAAGAAGCAAACGCAACAATCCTGCAACAACTAAAGGAACATCAATGATGTTTGCCATTTCGGGCCTTCTGGAGTACGTCTTGGAGGCCTCTTGGGGGCCTCTTGGCCAGTCTGAGGCCATCTTGGGTCGTCTTGGAGGCTTCTTGGACGAACTTGAAAGCATCTTAGACTCTCTCTGGCCGTCTTGGAAGGCATCTTGGACCATCGTTGGCGACTTGGAGGCCATCCTGGAGGCCACCTTGGGCCAACGTGACCATCTTAGAGGCCATCTTGAGCCGTCTTGGAGAAATTGTTCTGGTTGTTGAGGTGATTAACGCTGCCTTGTGCGGCCTTTCGGGTGGCCGGCGGGGCGGGCCGAAGCCCCAGGGGGAGCTTCTTTTGGAGAAAGGACCAAAACCAAAAGCGAAAGGACCCAGCACGCCGGGCACCCCTGTGGCAAGCCAACAGGGGGCGGCGGATCGAATGGCCTTCGGCCAATCCCGCCACCGTGCCTGGGTTGTGGGTATGAGGCTTGTTGGATGGTCGTTGGGATCTCGTGGGTGACCTCGTGGGGGCCTCTCGGGGGCCTCTTGCTGTTTGGTGGCCTCTTGGGGCCTCTTTTGGGCCTCTTGGGGCTGCCTGGGCGCCTCCGGGGACCGCCTGGGGGCCTCTTGGGGCGGAAGGCTAGGATTTTCGGTTCGTGATCCCTCCCTTGGGCCGCTTTTGGGGTCGTCTTGTGGCCCTCTTGAGCCGTCTTGGGGCCCTCTCGTGCCGTTTTGGGCCCCCCTTGGAGGCCTCTTGGGCCGACTTGGGGCGACTTTGGTGGCCTCTTGGGCCGTCTTGGAGCGTCGGGAGAGCGAATAGACGAGACAACATTCAACAACCTGAGGAAGATCAATGAGAGTTGCCTCTTGGAAGGCCTCTTGGAGGCCTCTTAGGCCGACTTGGAGGCCTCTTGGGCCGTCTGGGGGCCAGCCTGAGCGTGTTGGGCTGATCTTTGGGCGTCTCGGGGCCATCTTGGACCGTCTTGAGGGCCTCGTAGGGCCCTCTTGTCCCGTCTTGGGGCCCTCTTGGGCCCGACACATTCACGCGCCACCACTTCCCAAAGCCCAGGGGTCACGCGGGAAGCCCCAGGAGATTTACAATTTGGGGTCAGGGCCTCTTAAAGAATTCTCGGGATTGAGGACAGGCTCCAGGGAATAGGCAAGGACCTGAAGACACGCCCACTCCGTGCCCAGAGGCACGGTGGCGGATATTTGTAAGTGCATACATCTCTCTCTCTCTTTGTATGTCTGTCTGCCTGTCAGTATATCTGTCTTCTTGTCTGCCTGTAAATATGTCTGTATATTGTGTGTATATATATGTATGTGTATATCTATGTATGTATGTATTTATATGTATATATGTATGTGTGTATGTGTGTATGTATGTGTGTGTGTATGTATGTATGTATGTATGTATGTATGTATGTATGTATGTATGTATGTGTTTATGTATGTATGTGTGTATGTGTGTATGTGTGTAGGTATACATGCATGCATGTATCCATGCATGCATGTATGTATGTATGTATGTATGTATGTATGTATGTATGTATGTGTGTAGGTATGTATGTATGTGTGTATGTATGTATGTATGTGTATGTGTGTATGTATGTGTGTATGCATGCATGCATGCATGCATGCATGCATGCATACATGTATGTATGTATGTATGTGTGTGTATGTATGTATGTATGTATGTATGTACGAATGAATGAATGAATGAATGAATGTATGTATGTATGTATGTATGTATGTATGCATGTATGTATGTGTGTATGTATGTGTGTATGTATGTATGTATTTCATGCATGCGTGTATTTTCATGTGTACGTATACGCGTGTGCACGCATACCTAATACGTATGCTATCCTGTAAGATCACGTCAGGAAACGCACCGGGAGATCCGGGGAGGGGGGCATCTCCCCAGGGCTCGCTTGGAAGTCCCCCAGAACGTCCCTAGACTGGCCAAGGGCATCCAAAGAATCCTCCACGAGATTCCAAGATGTCTCCAGGACAACCCAAGAGGCTTCAAGATGCCCATGATTGTCTCGAGACGGCCCAAGGGGCCTCCAACATTGTCCGTAGCCATTTTGGTTTAAGTCATTGTCACGGGCGCTCACAAATTTACCCGCCGTCGGCCCGCAATTCACCACATCCCGTGCCCTCGCAATGGCTCTGCGTCGCTTCAACCAGGGTGGCAAGAAGCAGAAGGAATCGAATGGCCTTCGGCCCATCCCGCCACCGTGCCTGGGTTGTGGGTATGAGGCTTGTTGGATGGTCGTTGGGATCTCGTGGGAGGCCTCTCGGGGGCCTCTTTGAGGCAGTTTGGAGGCCACTTTGGAGCGATTTGGGGGCCTCTTAGGGCCTTTTTTGGGCATCTTGGGCAGACGGCTCAGGTTTTCAGTTCGTGCTCTCTCCCTTGGGCCTCTTGGGTGCCGTCTTGGTGCCCTCTTGGGGCGTCGTGGGCGCCTCTTGGGCCATCTTCTGGGCCTCTTGGGCCCCTCTTGGGCCCGACAAATTCATACGACAAGAAGCCCCGGAAACCGCATGGGGTCACGCGGGAAGTCACAGGAGATTTCGGAAATACGGGTCCGTGCCTCGAAAGACTCCTCAGGAGTGAGGCTTGAGGTTTGGAGGATTAGGCAAAGAACACCCCCACTCCGTGCCCAGCGGCACGGTGGCGGATTGTCTGAGGAGCAGAAGCAGGAGATCAAGGAGGCGTTCGATCTGTTCGACACGGACGGTTCGGGTGAGATCGACTCTAAGGAGTTGAAGGTGGCCATGCGAGCCCTCGGGTTCGAGCCGAAGAAGGAGGAGATTCAGAAGATGATCTCCGACGTAGATGATGACGGAAGCGGGACCATCGGATATGAGGAGTTCCTTAAGATGATGACGCACAAGATTCTGAACCGTGACCCCAAGGACGAGATCTTGAAAGCTTTCAGGCTATTCGATGATGACGAGACTGGAAAGATATCCTTTAAGAATCTGAAACGCGTGGCGAAGGAGTTGGGCGAGCGGATGACGGATGAGGAGTTGCAGGAGATGATCGACGAGGCCGACAGGGACGGCGACGGGGAGGTGAACGAGGAGGAGTTCCTCCGCATCATGAAGAAGACAAATTTGTTCTGAGCGGTAGTCCGAATCATCACATATCCATTATTCCTCCAAAGCATGATCTCTGGGCAAGCCATCGCCACAGCGCGCTTGGCCAATGGCACGGTTGCAGCTTCTCACCAGTGTAGTGACGACCGAAATTTGGGTTGGTGACCCTCCAGGGCCCCCGCTGAATCATTCACCTTGAAGTGCAGGCCACGTGGCGCGCGGTTCCGTTTGACCGACCGCCAGTGATTGAAGAACATCAACAACAGCCTTCAGCATTGCCCAAGAGGGGTCCAAGAGGATTACCAAGACGACCCAAAGGGGTCAATACCACAGAGTTCCTGGCTGGGGTTGTGGCGATTTTTAGCGCGCTCGCGAATTCGGGTTTCGATGTTCCACGACAGCCCAAGAAGCCCACAGAGTTGTCCGTAGCCATTTTGGCTCAAGGCATTCTAGCTCAAGTTTTGGCTCACAGTTTGGGCTCTCACTCACAGCCCCAGCTCCTAGCACAGCGTGATCTCAAGACAGAGCCCGATGGCCTTCGAGGATGGATACCAGCTGCCAGCAGACGCCGAGTCAAGGCGCTGTTTTCGCTACCCCCGGCTTGGAAATGTGCTCTTCACTGTTTTCGTTGCGACGACATCCGCCGTCATCGCGGCCGTGACTACCGTGAACGTCATGCTGAAGCACGCGGACAAGAGAGGCGTTCTCACCAGGCGTGCCGACGCGAGAGGCCTTTCTCAGTACATTGACACTGATGAGGAACAAAAGGCAGGCATCGCCCAGGGACCTGTCGTCATGAAGTACACAGGATGCTCCAATTGGCCCGACATCCTCATCAGCTCCACGAACATCGACAGCGCGGACGTCAAACAACTGGTGCTGAAATGCTCGGAACTGTGCAGTATGGAGGACGAGTGCGAGTCCTATAACATCGCGATTCCAACTTCGACGACAATTATACAAGAGGAAGACTACTATTCCCCTGAGGTGATCCTGCATTACAACATGTCGTTCGAACACTTGGACGGCAAATGCACGGCGAAGGGTAGGGCTCCGAAGCACAATTGCCTCATCTTCAAGTGGGGTTGCCAGTACGAGGAGAATGGATGCTTCGACCTGCTCGTGGGGAATCGGCCACCGCTTCAGCAAAAGCTGGCCGGCCAGCACCACATAGATTGGTTGCTCAACCGCTAGATGTTCCATTCGAATAAGCTTTTCTTTCCATGAGGCCCTGTGGGAGCTTGCTCCTTGATGGAGATTTGAGCAGCTGTGGCTCTTCTTCCAAGCTGTATGGCAACCTCAGCTTAGGCAGAATCTAACACCTACCCTGCGCTGCTCACTGGATCTTGCTGCATGAGCGTTGCGCGACCGCGACGCACCATCTCTCCGTGTGTGAAGCAGTCTGCGTGCGCGGCTGGTCCTTCTGTGCTCTGAGGCTGGACCTTGGCCTCGAGGTGGACAGGATGAATTTCAATGCTTCCTCTCGTTCTCCATTCGTCCTGCCCCTTCCTCAAGCGTGAACGCTGCTCTATATACCAGCGTGCCGTGGCCAGAGGGATGTATGCCGGGAGGGGGTGGGGGGGTGGGGGAGGAGGGCCAGAACTTTTAGTGCAAGAGCGGCCTGCCGTGGCACATGTCCCAATTGTCCGAGACGACGGCCGGACACATTTATGCAAGGATCTTGCTGCATTAGCGTTGCGCGACCGCGACGCACCATCTCTCCGTGTGTGAAGCAGTCTGCGTGCTCTGAGGCTGGACCTTGGCCTCGAGGTGGACAGGATGAATTTCAATGCTTCCTCTCGTTCTCCATTCGTCCTGCCCCTTGATCAAGGGTGAACGCTGCTCTATCTACCAGCGTGCCGTGGCCAGAGGGATGTATGCCGGGAGGGGGTGGGGGGGTGGGGGAGTAGGGCCAGACCTTTTAATGCAAGAGCGGCCTGCCGTGGCACATGTCCCAATTGTCCGAGACGACGGCCGGACACATTTATGCAAGGGCAGCCTGTCGTTGCAAGCGGGTGGAAGTTGGCAAACGGCTGGTTGACGCTGCCATCCATAGGTTTGGCATTCCCAAGAGGCTCAGAGTGTTAAACAAATCAGTAGATTTTGCCTTCTCGCCGTGGCCGCCTTGGACGCTCCAGCGACCCGCGGCACCCCCCCCGTCCAGGAGCAAAAGTCAAAACACCCTCCCCGCCCGCAAGCCGTCGAGTTCACTCCTCCTCCTCCTTCTCCTCTTCCTCCTCCTCTCCCCTTCGTTGTGAACGGCGCGCGATCGCCCGTGTTTGTGCCCGGTGCTTTTGGATGCACCGTGTTTCAATTCCTCGCGATGTCTTCTCTTATCTTTGAGCCTACCGCCGCACATTGACCCTTCATATACGCCATCGTTCGCAGGATAACTCACCTAGGTGGATGGACGCTTTCTTTAAACGGCGTTTAAAGTAGCTCACTGGCTGCTCGCTTACCTCGCAGCGCGTGTGTGTCATCGTGCTGACAAAAAAATGAAGCCCACAGAGTTGCCCCAAGCCGACCCAAGAGGCCCTCAAGAGGGCCCTAAGACTACCCAAGAGGACGCCACGACGGCCTGAGGACCGCCAAGACGGTCCAAACGGCCACCATGCGAACCAAAGAAGGAGCCCCGAAGACCCCAAGAGGCGCTCCGAGGCATTCCCAAGAAGCTCGCAGAAGGTCCGAACGGTCCCCGTGAGGCCCCTCCAGACGTCCTCAGAGGCCCCCCGAGAAACCCACCAAAAGGACTCCAAGACGACCCCAAACTGAAGTCCTCGAAGCAAAATAAATACTTATATATACCTATATATATATATATATGTATATATATATATACACACATTGAGATTACATTGTTTTGCAAGGACTTCGGCACTCCTGCTTTTTCAGGCTTTCCAGGATTTCAAGACAGCCCAAGGCCCCCAAGGTCGGTCCAGAACGGCTCTACAAGCCCCGAGTAATCCCAAGACGGCGCACACATGGTCCCGAGACGGCCCATAAGCCCCCAAGACGACCTTGACGGCCTCCCATACAGTCCGACGACTTCGACGAGTACCCAAGAGGCCTTCACACACTGTAAGACCGCCCAAGTCGCTTCCAAGCCGACCCAAGACTGGCACAAGAAACTTGGCGATTCCCCGCACGTCAGCGTCTGCGAAAGAGCGTGATTTGCCGCTGCTGGCAGAAAACCGGGGGGGGTCACTGGGGGGTCCAACCCGTCCTCGCCCCCTCGAAAACCGAGGGGGGTCACTGGGGGGTCCAACCCCCTACCGTCCTCCCCCCGGTTCATCATGAAAAGGGAGGGGGGCATTACTGGTTCGAACCCTGCCCCCCCCCCCCCCCGGAAAGCCAGGGGGGGTTCGTTACCTGTTCAACCTCCTCCCCCACTCTGGATGGGGGACTGTGGTGGGGACAGTGGTTGGGACGGTGGTGTGGATGGTGGTGCGGAGTCGGGACAGTGGGAAAGTGGTTGGGACAGTGGAGAGAGCGGGACCGTGGTGGGGACAGTGGTGGAGACAGTGGGAACAGTGCGACAGTGGTGGGGGCACTGGTGGGAACAGTGGGGACAGTGGTAGGAAGAGTGGGGACAGTGGGACGGTGGTGGGGACAGTGTGGACAGTGGGACGGTGGTGGGGACGGTGGTGGTGGGGACAGTGGCGAGGGGACAGTGGGACAGTGGTGGGAACAGTGGGGACAGTGGGACAGTGGTGGGGACGGTGGTGGTGGTGACAGTGGTGAGGGCGGTGATGAGGACGGTGGTGGGACAGTGGTATAGTGGGGAGAGTGGTGGGGACAGTGGGGACAGTGGGACAGTGGTGGAGACAGTGGGGACAGTGGGACAGCACAGTGGGACAGCGGTGGGGACAGTGGGGACAGTGCGGCAGTGGTGGGGACAATGGGACATTGGGACAGTGGGACAGCGGGGACAGTGGGGAGAGCGGGACCGTGGTGGGGACAGTGGTGGGGGCACTGGTGGGGACAGTGCGACAGTGGTGGGGACGGTGGTGGTTGGGACATTGGTGAGGGGACAGTGGGACAGTGGTGGGGGCAGTGGGGACAGTGGAACATTGGTGGGGACAGTGTCGAGGCGGTGGTGAGGACGGTGGTGGGACAATGTGACAGTGGGTCAGTGGTGGGGACAGTGGGGACAGTGGGACAGCGCAGTGGAACAGCGGTGGGGACAGTGGGGACAGTGGGACAGTGGAGGGGCCAGTGGGGACAGAGGGACAGTAGTGGGGACAGCGGGGACAGTGGGGAGAGTGGGACCGTCGTGGGGATAGTGATGGGGACAGGGGGGCAGTGCGACTGTGGTGATAGCACTGGTGGGGACAGTGGGGGCAGTGGCGGGAAGAGTGGGGACAGTGGGACAATGGTGGGACAGTGGGGACAGTGTGAGAGTGGTGGGGACGGTGGTGGTGGGGACAGTGGTGAGGGCGGTGGTGAGGACGCTGGTGAGGTTCGGGGAGTCGTTTGCCAGCGGCGAGTGCGGGGGGTGGGGGTGGGTCGAACCGGTAATGACCCCCCCGGTTTTCCGGGGAGGGGGTGGGGGTGGAGGGGGTGTTTGAACTGGAAGTGACTCCCCCCGGTATTCCGGAGGGGGGGGAGGGGGGGAAGGGCGAGGCGAGGGGGGCTTCCAGGTTCGGGAGGAAGAGGAGAGGGGGGGGGAATTTTCCACAGCAAAGCGGCGGTGGATCACGCTCTGTGACACCTGCCTGCACGTTGTCGGCGTCCTTCGGTGAGGGCCTGCACCCGGCCACGGGTCGCGCCAAGATGGCTCAGAAGGCCCCCCACACGGCGCACGGGGCCCCCGAACACGTACGCATTCAGGAGGCCTTGAACTGCGACGCTGAAGCCAGCTGTGTCTGCGAGCGGACCGCATCTGGACCGCACGCGGCCCCTCCTCCGGCTCCTCCCCGCTCTTCCTGTTCACTCTCCCCCCGTTCGTCTCATCTCTCTTACGAAGTGGCGAATCTGGTCCAAACCAGATCCCCAATGTGTTCCAACTCCAGTCCAACTCAGGCCCAAATCGGACTGCTCGGGGGGCCACGAAAGGTCCCCACGGAACGACCACCGATTCATTGAAAAACAGACTCTTCACGCTTCGCGCATCCACACCAGCCCCTTCAGAAACCTTGCTCGCGGGAGTTGACGGGAACAGCGTCGAAGAGGCACACACACACACACACACGCACACGCACACGCACACACACATACACACAGTCAACCATCATAGTAAGGATGGGGCAACTTTCCGTGGCTACCCTTGCATCCTTGCCCGTTCGGTATTCGGCATCCTCTTGCGTTCTGCTGCGCTGCGCACGGAAAACGTCAACATGGCGTTCCAAGGCCCTTGCATCCTTACCGTGCATCCTCACTATCCTGGTCGAGTGCACGGTGAAGCAAGGCGTGCAACCAGGGTGCGCCGAGAGAGTTCTGGGAGCAAGCGGTTGGCCTCGGAAGGGCTTCGGAAGGGCCATCCTCGGTGCCCGCGTGCGGGCGAGGGAAGCTGGATGAGGAGGAGGAGGAGGAGGAGGTGGAGGAGGAGGGGAGGGGGAGGAGGAGGAGGAGGAGGAGGGGAAGGAGGAAGTAGACGACGACGACGACAACGACCACGACGACCATGACGAGACGACGAGGAAGAGGAGGAACCAGGAAAGGAAGACGACAATGGCAAGGACGAGGAGGAGGGGGAGGAGGACGAGGACAACGAGGACGAGGACAGGGCTCTCAGCATCGCCTCATGGAGTCCTCTTGGGGCCGTCTTGGGGCCCTCTTGAGGCCCTCTTGGGGGGCCCTTGGGAGCCTTGGAGGGCCTCTTAGGCCATGTTGGAGGCCATCTGTCAAGAGGGGGGCGTTCTTCGATTGGACCCCCCCCCCTCCTTGGGGACCATCAACATCGCCTCTTGGGGCCTTCTTTCTTTGAGCGCTCTTGGGCCGCTCTTGGGCGCTCTTGGAGCCGTTTCGGGGGCCTCTTGGGCCCCTCTTGGGGCTCTCTTGGGCCACTGTGGGACAACCTCGGGGCCTCAACAGCGCATCGCAAGCGAAAAGGTGAGAAGGCAAAAAGCAGTGATCGTCCTTCGGTGTTTACAGGATTTGGGCCTCTTCGGAGGGTGCTCAGGGGGCTCCGAAAGCACTAGGAACCTTTTTGTGGCCCTCGTCGGGCCTCTTGGAGGTATGCCGGAAGCTATCTTGAATCATCTTCGGCTATGTAGAGTTGCCTTGGAGGTCATCTTTCAGTATCAGAGGTCATCTGAGAGTCATCTTGGGCCATGTTGGGCGCTCTGACACCTCGCGGCCTGCCCAAAAAAACCTCAGGGAGGGGAGGAGAAGGGTACCCCTCCTCGAAGGGTCGAAGGTTTTGGAAGAGGACGGAAAGATATCGCTAGATTGTACAGGCTTACGCCACATCCGCCGACCCCTTTTTTCATTGGCATTGGTTGCCATGAATTCTGGGTAAGCCGCGGCATATTCATTCCCTTATGGCGCTGGCACAGGGAGAAGGGGGGCCGAAGAGGGCCGCATACTGGCCCAAGAGGCCATATGGGGAGTGTTTCTTAGAGCCGTCTTGCGGCCATCGTTGGCGTGTTCGACGGATTTTTAGGCCACTGAGGGCCGTTTGGGGCAGACTTGGAAAGATGTTGAGACTCTGCTGCCAAGTTTTGGGGGCCCTCTCATCACCCTTTGACGCGTTCGGGCGGAGCGGGAGTGGTGGGTTTGGGGGGGGGGAGTGGCTGGGGGTGAAATCTCCGGTTTGGGGGCCTCGGGAGGGGATTATGGGGATAGTGGTATGAATTTTTGCCAAGACAGCCCGATGTGGCCAATCTTGGCCGGTTCTGTCAAAGTCCGGCCACGGAAAATCAAGATGTCGTTAGCATTGTTCGAGGCTTGTTAGGACTATTTGGAGCTTGGTGAGTGCCCTCAGAGCCCTGTGCGGAGCCTTCTGTAGAGCTCTTTGAGTTCTATGAAGCCCTCTTACAGATCACTATGGAGCCCTATGCGGAGTTTCTTGAGAGCTCTGTGGAGCCCTCCTAGAGCCGCTGAGAGCTCTTCGAGATCACTCTGAGGATTCTTGCAGAGTCCTCTGACAGGCCGGTCAGGGGTTTTTTGAACCCTTCTCGGGGGTATAACCAATTTGTGTCCCCAATCCGTAGGCGTCTGAGGACACCACGCAGCTCGAAGAGCTGCGGCGACCGTTGTGTGGCGGTCCCCACTTATGATACGCAACACATGCAATTACGTAAGTATGTAATGTAATCCCACATATATGTAGATAGTGTAACTGGAGAATAGAAGACACCAGCCCAAAGAAGAACTGAAGTACAACATAAACCGATTGATGACACATGTGATCCAAATAATAACCATTGAAAGCGTTCATAAGCCATGGTCGGAGGAATTGGGTGCCTGTGTTTTTTTGTGTCGGTGGTCCAGCGCACGCTGCCGCATGCTTGCCATAGCCAACACCATGTTTGTCCAACTGGTCGTGGTCCTCCTGATGAGGTCCTCTGTCGGCCAGCCCAGCCGGCGGGTGAGGTCAGCCGTTGGTATCGCGATACCCTGCCGGAGGTCGGCGTTGGCTGTGCACACCCAGTACATGTGGTCGAGCGTCGGGACGCGCTGCTCACCGCAGTGGTCGCAGGTGGTCGAGACCTCCTCGCCTTGGTTGGACTGCAGCAGGGCGTCCGAGACCACGCAGCCGCAGAGGACGGCGGCGATGTGTGAGGCGAGGATTGGGTTAGCTTTCCGTGCTTCCTGTGCCTCGCGTGCGGCAGCAGCTGGGAAGGGCACTCCGGCCGCCATGGGGCTCTCCCGCCGGTTCCGGCCCTGTAGGATTGCCCATTCGTGGGATCGGAGTATGAGTCGTAGCTCGTGGAGCTGTCGGTCTGTTCTGTCGGTGAATCGAAGCTCTCCCGCCGGGCCTCTCCAGAAGCCGTCGTCGCTGCGCTCTGCTCCAAGTGATGCCAAGTGTGCTCGGTAGGCGTGGAGTGGCCCCCGCGTGTCGGTCTCAGAGCCTTCTGAGGAGCTGCTGAGAGCTGTTGTAGACCTCTTTTGGGAGCTTGTACGAGCTTTTGTAGAGCCCACAGACGAGTTTCTTAGAGCCTTTTGGAGGCATGTGGAGCCGTCTCGGAGCGCTTTTGGGTTGTTTCGGGGGTTCCTCTGGAGCATCTTGGGCCGTCTTTGGGCGGTTTCGGGGGCCTCTTGAACTGTCGTCAACGCCGTGAAATCCTATGTTTGTTTTTGTTTGTTTATAGTGTGCGGTGTCCTGACGGTCCCGAAGACTTAGACCTCCAGGTGGCTCGCGGGCCTTTCGGGGGCAGCGTCGAAGTCTCATGGGCGCATCTTGGGGCAGAAGGCTCGAATGGTCGGTTTGGGTTCCCCCTCTTGGGCCACTCTTCGGGTTGGCTCCGAGCCCTGTTGGGCCTTTCTGGTGTTATTGAGGCGCTTTGGCGCCTTACTGGGCCGTTTTGGGGCCATTTCGGGAGCTTCTTGGGCCTTCGTGGGGCGTTCTTGACGGCTTCGTGGGCCATTTAGAACGCAGCGATGACCGAAAAGTCGTTGATGGCAGCGCTGTGCGTTTTCCAATCGGAATGGGTTGCTTTGGGCTACTTGGCCCTCTTGTCGCTCGATGGAGGATTTCGGGCAACGCGAGTCGTCAGGAGTATGCTGACGTAGAAGGCTGGAGGGACAAGAAAACGGAAGTGGAGAAGGCGCGGCCCGCGTACCGCGAGACCACGGATCTGGTCGCAGCGCCGGAGTACTTACACAGCGGCCAGACTAATGGGTTGGGAGAGACGGAAGGATGCGGTAGGAAATCAACGAGCGGCAATGGGGCAACAGCAGATGGGAACAAGGGAAGCGAGGAAGGGCGAACCTGGCTGCAAGAGTACCTCGGTGTCTGGGTGGAAAAGGGGCAGGAGTTTCGACAGAACCACGTGCACCAGTGGAGTAAGCGTTTGCAGCGCGTGATACCGTTGGCACATTGTCAGAGGAAAGATGACATGACGCAGTGCAAAAGCTTTTTTCCCGCGCGCGACGTGGCTCATAGATCGCGCAGTGGCGCTACGCCCAGTTTTTCTTGTTTGCAAAACCGTGACGTGCCGCGAGCAGGGAGGAGGAACATGACAGGGTGCTTGCACGGGCCCATGAAAGAAGAGAACCTGAACGGAACGCTGCCTGCGATGCTGAGCGGTGCGGTAGGGTTCAATTTTAACAGCGATTTGCAGATCCCGCACAGGTTCCCAGTGACAGAAGCGACGCACGATAGTTGTGCGTGCGAAGAGCGGTGCTGGGAGACAGATCGACCTATAGACATGGTTCTGGCAGCGCAACGAGCGCAGTATGCAGCAGCAGGGTGCGCGGCGGACTATCAGTGCAAGCGTTGTGCCCCGTCCTTCAACGAGGTGCGGGAGATCAAAAAGGGTCATCACGCGCTGGCGGAGCAGACGAAAGACAGGACCGCGGCGTACCGAGCCAAAAGGCACACGAAGAGGTTTCTCAGTGACATGCACGGGAGAGGCGTGGTGCGGTCAGCGCAGGAAAGTGCGAATCTGGGAGCGTACTGAGGCCCCAGAGACGTGACTGGTGCCGAGAGTATCAAGACTGCGAAGACAGCCATGATCCCGGGGGCAGAGGCAGCGCGCATGGCGGAACGGCTTTGTGCAGATGGGGGCGGTGTCACCGTAGAAGCGCCGGGGATTCCGGAAGCGGACAAACGAGAAGGGGTGAAAAAAAGCTTCGAATTGTGTCTAAGAGTCCCAGTGTACTTGCATGGCACGCGGCCAGTGGACGCTCCTGATGCGCCCGACTTGGCACACTTATCATTGCATGAGTTCGTACGATATTGGCGCATCGAGTTGGCAGCATTTCCCCGCAGCGGAGTAGAGCTGGCAGCTGCGGCCAGCAATGAGTACCAGGCGGAGCTGACGCTGTCCGGCATTCAGAAGGTCCGCAAAGCAGACCAGCAGAGAGCGGATACTGACGAGAGCGGTGCGCAGGCCGGACCCCAGTTGAAAGCCGGAGTGGATTATAAGATCAAGGAACGATGGGGGAGCTGCTCGTGGGTCCCGCTTCCAGACATTCCAGAGCTGGAAACTTCGAGGCACGCGTGGGTGCTGGTGCGAACCGAGCGCCCGAGAAACCCCGGTTATCATGGGGCGCCGCAGCCGGAACACGGAGCGGGGCAGGAGGATAGGAACGGGCTCTTGTTGATGGTATGTTTCCGGGCCTTCGCACTTCGCGACGATGTCGACGGTGGAGCGCCGCGCTTGCGGGAGTTCCGTGGAGCGCAGGGGTCGTGGGCGGAAGCGTCTTTCGAGCGGTTAGAGAAAGGCACGCCATGTGAAGAAACAAAGAGGTACGTGCAGAACTACATGAGCGCGGTGGATTTGCGACCAGTCACGGACGAAGATCTAGTCGAGCACGAGGACGAGCTGCACAGCGATGAAGAGCTGGACCCGAAAATTGTCGACGCGGCGACCAGGCGCAAGACGCACGTGGGAGGCGCGTCCATGGAGAAAGAGGGCAGGCGGACAAATGTAGACGCGGAGTGCGAAAAGGAGAAGAGCCGGGAGGCCATGGCCAGGGGCGACGCCGTGTGGGGCGAGAGAACGAGTCGAAAGAATGGGAAGCGCAAGAAGCGCGGAGAGGGCGGTCTCCAGAGGTGGGACGACGCGGAAGCGCAGAAAGCGCAAGCGGTGGCCGCGGCGTCGAGGGCCGCAGAAGGCAGCGGCGCGGGCGGAGAGGAAGGTGCTCCGGAAGTGGTCACGGCCAAGAAAGCGACGGCGTCCAGTGTGCGGAAGTGGAGATAAGGCCTTGCGGATAGCGGGTTGAACGCGAGACAACGGAGCGTCGTTGAGAAGGTGGCAGATCGAGCGTTGGTGCAAGAATTCGCGAGTTCCGCGAGCGGAAGGAACATGGGCCAGAGACGTTCTGATATGCCGCCCCTCGCGTGGATGTTGCATGGTGGCCCGGGGGCGGGGAAGTGTTTCGTCATGGATAAGATCCGAAAGGAGCTGTTCGAAAAAAGGGCTGGGGTGGGCGCGCGGCGTAGATTTCCAGGTGGCAGCGTTGCAGGCCACAAACGCGTCAGCTCTTGACGGGAATGCGATTCGCAGTGCATTTAGGCTCGGCGCGAAGAAAACGAATGAGAAGGACGCGGCGGGGAATGCCAACGCAGAGGCGAAGAAGAAAACAAAGACAGAGCAAACCGCGCAGCGCATGTCACAGTGGAAGTGGCTGATAGTGGGCGAGGTGAGTATGGTCAGCGCGAACTTCATTGCAGAGCTAGACTCCCGCTTGCTGTCATGCATGTCAGCTGCAAGCGACACGAAGGTAGGTGAAGACGGCGTAACAAGGTCCTTCGGCGGCGTGAATGTGCTGTTCTGCGGGGATTTCTATCAATTGGAGCCGCCATCAGGGACAGCCATTAATGCGCTTTCGACGTCGTAGTTGAAAAACGCGAGGAAATACGCGCCAGGTGCCGCGGAGGACCACGGACAGTATCTTTTGGGGAGCGAGTGGCGAAGTCGCCATGCAGGGAATGACAGAATTGACAGAGTGCAAACGCGTGGAGGATCAAGACGATTTGGGTTCTCGCAGTGCAGGACGAGTTCCGCCGAGGGCAGACCGACGGATGTGCCGGGGTCGTGGGTGAACGGTGCACCGTTGTGCGGGAACGCGCGTTGTCTCGAAGACATAGAGGCAATGGCGAAGCAAAACGAGCTCGAATGCGACGCTTGCAAAGCTGAGCGGGACAAGAGAAAGCTCGTTGCGACGTCGCCCGAAGATGCGCGGTTTCGGGAGGAGAAATTCTTTGAAGCTGTCGCCATTTATGCGAATCAGGACATTCGTTGCCACGTCGGGAAGCAGAGAGCTGCGCAGTGGGCGAATGAGCGAGGAGAACAGCTGCCGCGGGTCGCAGCCAGGGACCGCCCTTGCCACGGGGGGGAACAGAGGCGGCCGTACACGGTGGAGGTTAATATACGTTGGCTGGGGTACCACGAGAAGGAGTGCGCAAGTTTGCCCGGGTGGGCGCCGTTGGCCAAGGGGATGCTGGTGGCTTTGGGAGATCACTTGGATCGGTCGAAGAAGCAGCTTCTGCGGGGTCGCACAGCGACGATCCATGGATGGGCGTTGCGCGAGGATGAGGTCGTTGGAGATGAGGACGAGGAAGTATTGATGCAATTGCCGAGAGTGATTGTGTCGGACTTCCATACGAAGGAGTGGTGCCTGCCAGGACGGGAGCCAGAGCTGCATCCGATCTTCCCATCAAAAGGGCGGCAGTGGTTCTTGGACGGATATCGGAAGCATCCAGTATTGAGTGCGAAGCGCGCGCAGTTCATGATCACCCGGGCTTTGGCAGTGACGGCGCACTCTGCGCAGGGCCGGACCACGGCCGCAGTGATAGCAGACCTTGAAAGAGGGCGCGGCGTGAGTTGGATGTCAGTTTACGTTGCCATCACGCGCGTGCGCGGGCGAGAGGACCTTCTGATTTTCCGGCCTTTTGATAGGGGGCCGCACAGCGCAGGTGAGATGGAGGGCGCGAAAAAACGGTTGCAGGTGCTACGAGGGGAGAGCTTCGATTGGGATGAGTGGGGGGCGGAACTGATGCCGCGAGACCAGTGCGAGCGCTGCCGGCGGAGGTCGTTGGTAGAGGCGCTCACGAAGTACGAGTTCCAGAGAAACGAAAGGCCTCTGCAAAGAGCGCACGGAGGAAATGAAAAACGCGGACGAGAAACTGTGTGAAACGCGCAGAGGGTGGGCAACGAGAGCAGAGAGTGACGACGCGGCACGCCGTGGTAGCGGTCGGAACGCGGATGCGGTGGCCGACGACGGGGAGACGAAAAGGGTTAGGACAATGTACTGCGCGAAGTGCAGCCAAGTCAAAGCCAGGCAGAACTCGCGGAAAGGCAACGCGAAGTGGAACGAGAGCGTCGGCATTGTGCGATGCACGAACGACAAGTGCCTGTCGCTGCATGGCGAGAAGGCGGAGATGTCGGAAGCTCAGAGAAAGCACAACGCTGCGGGGGAAGGGCTCTGTCGGAAATGCGCGGAAGAACGAGAGAAAGAGGTGCGACGGAGGAATGCGGAGGCAGGGAATCGCAAACGGAAAGTGCGTTGTTCGAACAATGTCTGCCGATCACTATTCCCAGAGGAGGCAGATCTGTCCGAAGCCCAGAAGAAGCATAATTCTGCAGGGGAGAGGCTCTGTCGGAAATGCGCGGAGGAGCGGGGGAAGGCGGCTTTGCGTGCGAATTGCGAGGCAGGGAATCGCAAGCGGAAAGCCATGGCGGAAGCGAAGCAGCTGACGCGCGCGGCGTGCGGAGAAGCGTTCCCGGACGCGAAACATTTGAGGCATAACCAAGAAGAGCATCATCGACGGGCGAATTACAAAAAAGGTGGTGTGCGGAGGCTGCAAGGAACTCGGGTTCACAGCCCGCAGTTGCCAGGCGCATCAGTGCAGCGGCGCGCGCAAGAGAAGACCGCCGAAGTCGGCGCTCCCCGACCCGCGCAATGTCCCGCGCGATGCCAAACGGGGCACGCTGAAATGCAATACCTGTAATTGATGTCCAATGGGGCGCGCGCGCCGGGGAGGAAGGGGGGGGGGCGGGGTGCGAGGCGGAACACGGGGGGGAAATAATCGGGGAGGATGAGGACGAGGCGAGGGAGGAAGAATATGAGTGGGCGAGGAGGGGGTGGAGAAGGAGGCTGGGGGAGAGGGAAGAGGGACACAGAGACACGGCGGCATGGGCACCCCCGAAGCGCACGCGCGCCGCGCCGCGTGCGGGCGCCACGCCGCGCGCGTGGGCGAGCGACGTCGTTGAGGGAGGACGGCGACGGCGGCCCCCCTCCCCCCTCCTCCCCAAGGATGGCACCCCAGGTCGGTATAGGCACCCCCGATTACGGACACGGCTTGCTCGGACACAACATGTCCCGCGGACAGGGTGGGCGGATGCCCCGCGCAATGTCCCGCGCGACGCAAAAAAACACCTTGAAGAGCGGCTTGCGCGGTGATCGCGGGGATCTCTTGGGGTGCTTCTCGCGGGACTCTTGGAGGCAGTTTCGAAGCCTCTTGGGGGCCGTCTGGGGCCCTCTTGGGGGCCTTTTGGGGTTTCTGGGGGGCGTATTGGGGGCCTCTTGGGGCATCTTGGGGCCTTTTGGGGCTGTCTTGGGGCGGTAGGCTCGGATTGTCGGTTCAAGCTCCCCCTTTTTGGGCCCCTCTTGGGGCCGTCTTGGGGCCCTCTTGGGCCGTCTTGGGGGCCTCTTGGGCCGTCTTGGCGCCCTCTTGGGCCGACTTGGGCGCCTCGTGGGGGCCTCTTGGGCCGTCTTGGGGCGGTTTTGGGGTGCTCTTGGACCGTCTTCAACGCCGTAAAGGCCGACAAGCCGACGGTACGTTTTCCCATCGCAATTTTATGATGTTCGGCTCTTCGGCCGTTCTGAGGACTGTTCTTGGAGGCCTCTTGGGCCGTCTTGGGGGCCTCTTGGCTCGTCTCGGGGCCATCATGGGCGTCTTGGAGCGCTCGTTTGGCGTCTCGGGGCCTTCGTGGGCCGTCTTGGAGACGTCTTGGGGCCTTTTTGGGCAGTCTTGAGCCCTTTTTGGGTCCAAAAGAGCCCGTGAGTCGCTTGGGCCGGGCGAGGGGGGTGGGGCCCGGGGGGGGGGGGTCGAATCGTCGGTTTAGGGCCCCATGGGGGGGAGTAGGGGGGGGGCCTATCTCACACGCCTCGGGACCCACAAGGGGCCAGCGGACGACCTTAGGCCAAAGGGCTGTTGGGATTGATGTCGAAAGTAGGTCGCGTGATAGTTTTTGTCCTGGTTTCGCAGCCTCCGAGATCCAAGGATCGTCCCAAGATGTCACTGAAAGAGCGCAGTACAAGGCCCAAAGGAGCCTAAGAGGGGAGGAGCACCAGATGGCCCCAGGAAAGCCCTGCGCGGAGGGGGCAAAGTGGGCGACGCCAGAGGAGGCTTCCCGAAAAAACTCGACACTGAAAGTTCCCGCAATGTGCACAACTGACTTGCTGCAAGAAAACGTTTCCAGACGGTCCCACGAGGGCCCGAAGAGACCGAGATTCTTCAAACGTGGCCCCGAGAGGCTTTGAATACAACCAAAGCGGGCCCAGCTATAGCCGCGATGGGTCGGGTGAACCTCGAAGCAATCCAAGAAAAACGGCACGACTGCCACGCGCAGGCAGAGGAAGAGGGAAAAGGAGAGAAGAAGAACAGCAACCGGAGCACCGGAAGGAGCAGGAGGAGCAAACGGAACCCTCGGAGGAGGAAGGGGAGGGGCAGAAGCCCTCGTCTCTCCACTCTTGCCCCCCACCCCCCTGCCTGATCCTTTTCGTTTTGCATGCTCAGATGTGCTCTCTGCAGAGTATCGGAAGCCGCTCCTGCTCAGGATTCTGTCTCGCAGCGGCGACCCCCGCGCATTGTTGGACAATGGCCTAATGAGGGGTCTCAGAGCCCATTGTTGCGACAGGGGTTCGTTCGCTCCTCTGCTTCCCCCGTCCCCGCGCCCAGCTCCTCTGGCCCGTCCTGCTCCTGGGTTCCCTTGGGCACCTTGCTCCCCATAAGCGACGCGTGGGCCACTATTTCAGGCGAAGCGGAGCGAGCGTTCAACATCTTGTTCGTATAGAATATAAGCAAGTACCGCCCCCCGCTCCGTCAAGTTCGTTACCATCGGCGGCAAAACCCCGGTACCACCCTCCCGGGCGTCCAAGGAGCCCCGGAAGGGCCTGAAGACGGCCCAGGATCCCCCCGAGACAGCCCAAGAGTGCTCCAAGGCTGTCCAAGCCAACCCCCTGACGGGTCTGCAAGCCCCCAAACGCATCAAGATCGCCCCAAGAGGCTTCCAAGAGTACCCCGAGAGCTCTGGGGAAGCCCTCGAGAGGCCAACAAAATCATTGAACAACCAGCGGGAAATCAATGATGATATGTTTTCTCCCGCTTCGGCCTCCGACACGCTTCGGCGGCTTGCGCATGCCCCCAAAGAGAGCTCCAAGAGGCCCCCAGGGGGCGTCCCGAACGGCGCGAAGTGGCCCCAAGAGGCCTCAAGAGGTTCCCATGACGCCCGAAGGGGCACCTCCGAGGCCCCGGATGTAGGTTCCGAGCATGCCCCAACGAGTTCCCAGGAGCCGCCCCAGATGTACCCAGCGCCGAACAGGGCCCCGAGAGGCCCTCCAGAACTCCCAAGAGGCCTCGAGGAGAGCTCCAAGATGCCCCCAAGTGGCTCCTTCTCCTTGCTCTCCTCCCTCCTCCCCGCTGCACGATTTTCCCGTCTCTCCTTCACGCCTCTCTCTCCGCTTCCCTCATGCGTTTTCGTCTCCCCCATCCCTCATCCTCATTTTTCCTTCATGCCTTCCTCCCTCTGCCTCCCTCACCCAGCATCCTGCTCCACTATGTGGTGGGAGGGACAGCTTCAAAAAAGGGGATTCCCCCAAATCCTATTTTTAGGGTCTACCTCCCCTCGTTTCCTCCTGTCCCAGGCTTTGGCGTGCCCTCGAGTGCTTTTCCAGTTTCCCTTATCCCTCGCTGTCCAGTCTCCCTGATCTCTCTTTTTTGCTCTTGGTTCTCTTCCGTCTCCCGTTCCACATCCTTTTCTTTTCTCTCCTCCCGCCTCCCCGCTGCCTCAATTTCTCTCCTCCCTCTTCCTCGTCCTTCCTTCACGCCTTCCTCTCTCCGCTTCCCTCATGCGTTTCCGTCTCCCCCACCCCTCGCTGTTCGTTCTCTCTGATATGTTCTTTGCTCGTGGGTGCCCTGCGTCTCCCGTTCCACGCTCTTCTCCTTCCTCTCCCCCTCCCTCCTCCCTGCTGCGTCCGTTTGCCTGTTTCCTCCTTCACGCCTGGGTGTGCAATGATTGTTTGCCTCTCGTGGGCTTTCCCGAGGCCCTTGGAGGCCTCTTGGGGCGATCTTGGGTGCTCTTGGGAGCCTCCAGAGCCAATTTGAAAAGAAGGGAATTCCCTCAAGTCCTTGCTTTTTCAAGCTCGACCCGCCCCCGTCGTTCCTTCCTGGCCCAGGCTTGGGCATGCCCCCGCTGTCCGTTCTCCCTGATCTTTATTTCCTATTCTTGGTTCTCCTCATCCCGTTCCACATCCTTCTCCTTCCTCTCTTCCTCCCTCCTCCCCACTACGTCATTGTCCCTCTCTCTCCTCCTCGTCTTTCTTTCACGCCTTCCTCTCTCCGCCTCCCTCATGCTTTTTCGGCTTCGCAACGCTCCGAGACGGCCCAAGAGGTCCCCAAGACAGCACCAAGGCAGCCAGCCCAAGAGTTCCCCGCGACGGCCCAAGATGCCGCCAAGACGGCCCAAGGGGCCTTCAAGACGTTCCCAAGACAGGGGCAAGAGCGGGAATCGAAACCGACACTTCGAGCCCAGACGCCAAGGGGAGGGCTCGGATTTTCGGTTCGTGATCCCTCCCTTGGGCCGCTTTTGGGGTCGTCGTGTGGCCCTCTTGGGCCGTCTTGGGGCCCTCTCGTGTCGTTTTAGGCCCCCCTTGGAGGCCTCTTGGGCCGACTTGGGGCGACCTTGGTGGCCTCTTGGGCCGTCTTGGAGCGTCGGGAGACCGACTAGACGAGACAACATTCAACAACCTAAGGAAGATCAATGAGATTTGCCCCTTGGAAGGCCTCTTGAAGGCCTCTTAGGCCGACTCGGAGGCTTCTTGGGCCGTCTGGGGGCCAGCCTGAGCGTGTTGGGCTAATCTTTGGGCGTCTCGGGGCCCTTTTGGACCATCTTGAGGGCCTCGTAGGGCCCTCTTGGTCCATCTTAGGGCCCTCCTGGGCCCGACACATTCACGCGCCACCACTTCCCAAAGCCCAGGGGTCACGCGGGAAGCCCCAGGAGATTTTGCGATTTGGGGTCAGGGCCTCTTAACGATTTCTCGGGATTGAGGACTGAGGCTCCAGGGAATAGACGAGGACCTGAAGACACGCCCACTCCGTGCCCAGAGGCACGGTGACGGATGTGTGTAAGTGCATATATATATATATATATATATATATAGATATCTCTCTCTTTGTATGTCTGTCTGCCTGTCAGTCTCTCTGTCGTTCTGTCTGTCTGTATATATGTATGTATCTGTATATTATATATGTATGTATGTGTGTATGTGTGTAGGTATACATGCATGTATGTATGTGTATATATATATGTATATATGTATATATATATATATATATATATATGTTTTTTATGCATGCATGTATATACATGTGTACGTATACGCGTGTGCACGCATACCTAATATGTATGCTATCCTGTAAGATCACGTCAGGAAACGCACCGGGAGATCCGGGGAGGGGGGCATCTCCCCAGGGCTCGCCTGGAAGTCCCCCAGAACGTCCCTAGACTGGCCAAGGGCATCCAAAGAATCCTCCACGAGATTCCAAGATGTCTCCAGGACAACCCAAGAGGCTTCAAGATGCCCATGATTGTCTCGAGACGGCCCAAGGGGCCTCCAACATTGTCCGCAGCCATTTTGGTTTAAGTCATTGTCACGGGCGCTCACACATTTACCCGCCGTCGGCCCGCAATTCACCACATCCCGCGCCCTCGCAATGGCTCTGCGTCGCTTCAACCAGGGTGGCAAGAAGCAGAAGGAATCGAATGGCCTTCGGCCCATCCCGCCACCGTGCCTGGGTTGTGGGTATGAGGCTTGTTGGATGGTCGTTGGGATCTCGTGGGAGGCCTCTCGGGGGCCTCTTTGAGGCAGTTTGGAGGCCACTCTGGAACGATTTGGGGGCCTCTCAGGGCCTCTGTTGGGCCTCTTGGGGCAGACGGCTTAGATTATCGGTTCGTGCGTTCTCCCTAGGGCCTCTTGGGTGCCTTCTTGGTGCCCTTGGGCCGTCTTGGGCGCCTCTTGGGCCATCTTCTGGGCCTCTTGGGGCCCTCTTGGGCCCGACAAATTCATACGACAAGATGCCGGGAACCCCATGGGGTCAACCCGGAAGCCACAGGAGATTTCGGAAATACGGGTCCGTGCCCCGAAAGACTCCTCAGGAGTGAGGCTTGAGGTTTGGAAGATTAGGCAAAGAACACTCCCACTCTGTTCCCAGCGGCACGGTGGCGGATTGTCTGAGGAGCAGAAACAGGAGATCAAGGAGGCGTTCGATCTGTTCGACACGGACGGCTCGGGTGAGATCGACTCTAAGGAGTTGAAGGTGGCCATGCGAGCCCTCGGGTTCGAGCCGAAGAAGGAGGAGATTCAGAAGATGATCTCCGACGTAGATGATGACGGAAGCGGGACCATCGGATATGAGGAGTTCCTTAAGATGATGACGCACAAGATTCTGAACCGTGACCCTAAGGACGAGATTTTGAAAGCTTTCAGGCTATTCGATGATGACGAGACTGGAAAGATATCCTTCAAGAATCTGAAACGCGTGGCGAAGGAGCTGGGCGAGCGGATGACGGATGAGGAGTTGCAGGAGATGATCGACGAGGCCGACAGGGACGGCGACGGGGAGGTGAACGAGGAGGAGTTCCTCCGCATCATGAAGAAGACAAATTTGTTCTGAGCGGTAGTCCGAATCATCACATATCCATGATTCCTCCAAAGCATGATCTTTGGGCAAGCCATCGCCACAGCGCGCTTGGCCAATGGCACGGTTGCAGCTTCTCTCCAGTGTAGTGACGACCGAAATTTGGGTTGGTGACCCTCCAGGGCCCCCGCTGAATTATTCACCTCGAAGTGCAGGCCACGTGGCGCGCGGTGCCGTTTGACCGACCGCCAGTGACTGAAGAACATCATCAACAACAACAGCCTTCAACATTGCCCGAGAGGGGTCCAAGAGGACTGCCAAGACGACCCAAAGGGGCCAATACCACAGCGTTCCTGGCTGGGGTTGTGGCGATTTTTAGCGTGCTCGCGAATTCGGGCTTCGATGTTCCACGACAGCCCAAGAAGCCCACAGAGTCGCCCCAAGCCGACCCAAGAGGCCCTCAAGAGGGCCCTAAGACTACCCAAGAGGACGCCACGACGGCCTGAGGACCGCCAAGACGGTCCAAACGGCCATCATGCGAACCAAAGAAGGAGCCCCGAAGACCCCAAGAGGCGCTCCGAGGCATTCGGAAGAAGCTCGCAGAAGGTCCGAACGGCCCCCATGAGGCCCCTCCAGACGTCCTCAGAGGCCCCCCGAGAAACCCACCAATAGGACTCCAAGACGACCCCCAACTGAAATCCACGAAGCAAACTAACTATATATATATATACATACATAGAGATTCCATTTTGTTGCAAGGACTTCGGCACTTCTGCCTTTTCAGGCTTCCAGGATTTCAAGACAGCCCAAGGCCCCCAAGGACGGTCCAGAACGGCTCGACATGCCCCAAATAATCCCAAGACGGCGCACAAATGGTCCCGAGACGGCCCATAAGCCCCCGAGACGACCTTAACGGCCTCCCATACAGTCCGACGACTTCGACGAGTACCCATGTGTGCTCTGTGTTGTGCGTGTTTTCTGTGCGTTGTAGGTGTTGTGTGTTATGTTTGTCTAGCGTGTGATTTGTTGGGTGTGATTTGTGTCTCTGTGCGTGCATGTAGTTCTGAGGCCCCAGGAGGCCCCAGGCGGCCTCAGGAGGTCCCAGAAGACCCCAGGAGGCCCCAAGAGGCTCCAGGAGGCCGCAGGAGGCCCCAGGAGGTTCCAGGAGACCCCCAGGAGGCTCCGAGGCGGGGTCCGGGGTACCAGAAGGTACAGAAAGCACCAGGAGGCCCCAGGAGGTTCCAGGAGGCTCCCAAGAGGCTCCGAGGCGGGGCCTGGGGTACCAGAAGGTACGTCGGGGCTCGATTTTGGGAGGATGTCTCAGGCGAAATCGCCATTCTCTGAGAATCGGGTTCAAAATCATTGAAATTACAATGTGTTTTCGAAGGTTTTATATTAGAATGTTGAAATTCCCATGTGTTTTTGGACCCTGACGTCACGCCACCGATTTTCATAATTTCGAGGATGTCCCGAGCGAAACGGCCAGAAAATTCGCGAACGCTCCGCGTACGCATTCATCGCTTCTGAGCTCTACTCCCTCGGAGAGGTGCGTATGATAATATTACATATCTATATATATATATATACATAGACATATATCATAACAATTGTGCTATCCTGTAAGATCGCGTCAGGAAACGCACCGGGAGATCCAGGGAGGGGGGCATCTCCCCAGGGCTCGCCTGGAAGTCCCCCAGAACGTCCCTAGACCGGCCAAGGGCATCCACAGAATCCCCCACGAGATTCCAAGATGCCTCCAGGACAGCCCAAGAGCGCTTCAAGTCATTTTGGTTCAAGTCATTGTCACGTGCGCTCACGAATTTATCCGCCGTCGGCCCGTAATTCATCACATCCCGCGCCCTCGCAATGGCTCTGCGTCGCTTCAACCAGGGTGGCAAGAAGCAGAAGGAATCGAATGGCCTTCGGCCCATCCCGCCACGGTGCCTGGGTTGTGGGTATGAGGCTTGTTGGATGGTCGTTGGGATCTTGTGGGAGGCCTCTCGGGGGCCTCTCTGAGGCAGTTTGGAAGCCTCTTTTAATCGTTTTGGGGGCCTCTTGGGGCCTCTTTTGGGCCTCTTTGGGCAGACGGCTCAGATTATCGGTTCGTGCGTTCACCCTTGGGCCTCTTGGGTGCCGTCTTGGGACCCTTTTGGGCCGTCTTGGGCGCCTCTTGGGCCATCTTCTGGGCCTATTAGGGCCCTCTTGGGCCCGACAAATTCACGCGACAAGATGCCGGGAACCCCATAGGGTCACGCGGGAAGCCACAGGAGATTTCGGAAATACGAGCCCAGGCCCCGTGAAGACTCCTCAGCAGTGTGGCTTGAGGCTTAGAGGATTAGGCAAAGGACCTGAGGACATGCCCTCTCCGTGCCCAGCGGCACGGTGGCGGATTGTCTGAGGAGCAGAAACAGGAGATCAAGGAGGCGTTCGATCTGTTTGACACGGACGGTTCGGGTGAGATTGATTCTAAGGAGTTGAAGGTGGCCATGCGAGCCCTCGGGTTCGAGCCGAAGAAGGAGGAGATTCAGAAGATGATCTCCGACGTAGATGATGACGGAAGCGGGACCATCGGATATGAGGAGTTCCTTAAGATGATGACGCACAAGATTCTGAACCGTGACCCCAAGGACGAGATCTTGAAAGCTTTCAGGCTATTCGATGATGACGAGACTGGAAAGATATCTTTCAAGAATCTGAAACGCGTGGCGAAGGAGCTGGGCGAGCGGATGACGGACGAGGAGTTGCAGGAGATGATCGACGAGGCCGACCGGGATGGCGACGGGGAGGTGAACGAGGAGGAGTTCCTCCGCATCATGAAGAAGACAAATTTGTTCTGAGCAGTAGTCCGAATCATCACATACTCGTTCTTCCTCCAAAGCATGATCTTTGGGCAAGCCATCGCCGCAGCGCGCTTGGCCAATGCCACGGTTGCAGCTTCTCGCCCGTGTAGTGACGACCGAAATTTGGATTGGAGGCCCTCCAGGGCCCCCGCTGAATTATTCACCTTGAAGGGCAGGCCACGTGGCGCGCGGTGCCGTTTGACCGACCGCCAGTGAAGAACAACACAAAAGCCTCCAACATTGCCCAAGAGGGGTCCAAGAGTGGTGCCAAGACGACCCCAAGAGGGCAATAGCATCGTTTTCCTGTGGGGTTGTGGCGAATTTTAGCGCGCTCGCGAATTCGGGCTTCGATGTCCCACGACAGCCCAAGAAGCCCACATAGTCGCCCCAAGCCGACCCAAGAGGCCCTCAAGAGGGCCCTAATATTACCCAAGAGGACGCCACGACGGCCTGAGGACCGCCAAGACGGTCCAAACGGCCGCCATGCGAACCAAAGAAGCAGCCTCGAAGGGAAACCCCAACGGGTACTTTTGGGCTTCCACCCTAAGATGGTCCAAAGAGGACCCCTGAGACATGCCCAAGAAGCCCCCAGAAGCCCCGAACGGCCCCCATGAGGCCCCTCAAGACGTCCCCAGAAGCCCCCGAGAAACCCCCCAAGAGGACCCTAAGACGGCCCCAAGTGGAACCTTCGAAGCAACCACAATCGATTCCTGTCAGTTTTTGCAAATGACTTCAGCGCTCACGCATTTCAGGCACCCAGGAATTCAAGACATCCCAAGGCCCCCAAGGTCGGTCCAGAACGGCCCGACATGCCCCCAATCATCCCGAGACGGCTCAAAGATGGCCCCGAGATGGCCCATAGGCCCGCAAGACGGCCTTAACAGCCTCCTATGCAGTCCGACGACTTCGAAGAGTACCCAAGTGGCCTTCGCACACTGCAAGACCGCCCAAGTCGCCTCTAAGCCGACCCAAGACTAGTTAGGCTAAGAAGCCTGGCGACTTCCCCTACGTCAACAGCTGCCTGCACGTTGTCGACATCCTTCGGTTGGGGACTGACTACACTTGGCCACGGGTCGCGCTGGGATGCCCCCAACACGGCCCAAGGGGCCCCCGAGAACGTACGCATTCAGGAGGACGAAATCATTGCTGGATGTCCTATCATGGTGGCCTTGAACTGCGACGCTGAAGCCGGTTGTGTCTGCGTGCGGGCCGCATCTGGACCGCACGCGACCCCTCCTCCGGCTCCTCCCCGCTCGTCCTGTTCCCTCCCCTCGTTCGTCTCGTCTCTCTTGCGAAGTGGCGAATCTGGTCCAAACCAGATCCCAAATGTGATCCAAATCCAGTCCAACTCAGACCCGCATCGGATAGCACGGGGGGACGTAAGCTCCCACGGAACGAACACGAATTCATTGAAAGAGATCTTGTTCACGCTTCGCGCATCCCCACCGGCACCTTCAGAAGGCTTGCCCATGGAAGTTGACGGGAACAGCGTCGAAGAGACACATACAGTGAAACAAGACGGGCACCTAGGGTGAGCCGAGAGGTTTTTGGGAGCAAGAGGGTGGCCCTGGAGGACCTCTTCGGGCCATCTTGGGGCCGCGTGCGTGCGAGGGAAGTGGGATGAGGAGAAGGACAATGAGGAGGAGGAGGACGAGGAGGAGGAGGACGAGGAGGAGGAGGAAGAAGACCACGACGACCACGACGACTAGGAAGAGGAGGACAAGGAAAAGGAAGACGACGATGGCAAGGACGAGGAGGGGGAGGAGGACGAGGACCACGAGGACGAGGACAGAGTTCTCAAAATCTCTTCTTGGAGCCCTCGTGGGGCCGTCTTGGGGCCCTCTTGGGGCCATCTTGGAGGCCATCGATCAAAAGGGGGGGTCTTCGTGGAGGAGGGAGGAGGGAGGAGGAGGAGGAGGAGGAGGAGGAGGAGGAGGAGGAGGAGGAGGAGAGGAGGAGGGCGGGGGGGAAGAGGGAGGGAGGAGGAGGGAGGAAGGGAGGGAGGGGGGGAGGGAGGAGGAGGGAGGGGGAGAGGGAGGGAGGGACGAGGGAGCGAGGGAGAGAGAGGGGGACGGGGGGGGAGGGGAGGGAGGGGGAGGCAAGGAGGGGAGCACGAGCCAGTGGGGAGTCTGGGAGGCGAGACGTCGGCGCGCGGCGCGTGCGGAGCCCCACCCCCACGGCCGCGGCGCCACTGACTGGCCAGGCCGCTGGGGGAGATCGCGGCGGAGGCCCCGCCCGACCTGGAGGACCCGTCCAGGGCAGCGATTCGATAGGTTCATGCGGCGATAGCGCGCCGGCGACGCCGCCGAAGGCTTTCGAGGTTGAATTCTGCGGCGCGGAAGCACCGAGGGACACGGTGCCCTCGTGGATCCGACGGAATTCAATCTTGAACGATGGGGGCCGCCCGACGCGGTGTCAAATACCTTCAGGCTCGCCGACGCCGCGCGAACCTACCGTGGGGGCGGGGCAGTCAAGACGCTGCAAGAAGGGCCGTTTCGGGCCGCTCCTCAGATGTTAGTCGTGGAGCCCGTTTGTGGCATCGGCCCGCCATGGCCAGAAGAGCCTCTTCGTTCCTTCTTAGGGTGCCCCTTTATGGCAGCACGATGACTGTAGGCACAGCGGGGGTACGCATCGACCCCAACCACTCACGCCGATAGGGTTCCGATAGCCCCATCCCGCCCAGGAACCGTGCGGATTCGCCATCGGGGGCCTACTCGCCGATCTATCGGCGACGCATCGCCGATTCCAGATCGATGTGTCCCTCTCCTATGCCAGTTCCCCCCCTGTCGTTGCACCCCAACCCGTTGTTCGCCGTTGATCAGCCGGCGACGCATCAAACGTTATCATGGCCCCCCAAGGCCCTCGCATCCTTACCGCGCGCGCGTCCTTCTTCCACGGGTTGTCCGTATCGTAGCACCCCAACCCGTCGTTCGCCGTTCGCAGGTTTTCCGTTGGTTGTTCCCGGATTGATTGGCCTTCCAGAGCTGATTCGCCCGCGTCCTACAGGAATTCGTAGCGGCTTGGGGGCAGAATTGTGGCAGCAAGGGATCATGGTTGCTCAGTTTGTTGATGTTGTCCTCTTTGAATCTATCCAACTCCGTTCGATCCCGCAGGCTCCCCCCCTTTTTCTGCGGCCACGAGCTGTGGCCCGTGGGCAGCGCGCCGCGTTCTGTCGTCCGACCGCAGAGGTCCGTCCAGGGCCACCGCCCGTGCGATCGATCTTCGGGGGCTTTCGGCCAGCGGTGGACCGAAGTGTAAACGTCGAGGTCGGTTCGGGGAGGTGCCATGCTGCGCTCCGTGCCTGTCGAATGTTATAGCGCATACTGGGGGAGCACCCCAGGATGCACTATCTGTTCTAATCAGCGGAGGATCTTGCGAAGTCGGTGCCTCCAGTGCCACTGACCAAACGGAGACGACCGAGGTGTAACCGAATGCCCCCGATACTAAATCATCCCCCATACACCCCCTCGAAAGTTTTCATCCAGTGTCAAGTGGATTTTTTGTGTGTGTGGGGGGGGGGGGCGCGGAGGCCGAACGCGATAACCCCCGGGGGGGGGGGGCAAATCGAAGTTGCCAGCATCTCGTGTGGACTAGCAGCAGCATCAAAAACGCTGAGCATGGCAATGGTGGTCACATAATTTCAGCTTCCGCAATCACGAGCGCGTGGCAGGGTTATGGGATTTTCACCATTCCAGTTTCCCACGTCACGAACGAGCGGCAGAGCCATGCGATTCTCACTTTCTCAGCCGTTCCCGAGTCAGGAGTGTGTGGCAGGGGCATGAGGACCGATTGGATGTTGAACCTACATGCGTTTTCCGAGCCGGCAAGCTATCGGAGTTAGTTGTTTAGCGCATCCCTCACACGGTTCGTGGTCCTTCCTCCTCCTCCTGGTCCCCCCAACAACTGCCCAGGCCCGAGCTCCCCCGATTCTCCGGGACTCCAAGCTTTCGAGCCTCTTCGACGCACCGAACTGCACCCCCCACAGGGGCAACGGTACGGAGGGATAAGGCATAGTTACGGGGACGCATCGATGCCCGATCGCCTATTGATCGCAGAGAGTGGTTCGATAGCCCGAGCCTGCCCAGGAACGTGCGGATTCATGATCGGGCGCCCATCGCCGATGCATCGGCGATGTATCGCCGACTCCAAATCGACGTTCCTCCCCCCAGTGCCTATCCCCCCACATCGTTGCTCCTGACTGCGTCGCGAGCCTCAGCCGTGCCCCAGGCCGCCGAGCGCGACCAGGCGGCCCTGCAGGGGGTCGCGACCCAAAGCGCGAGCCCGAGCTCGACCGAAATTCTCGAGCGCATGGCCCAGCAGAACGAGAAGATCCTCGACGAGTTGTCCTCGATCGCGGACAAGATCGCGATTGTCGAGATGCGCCAGTGCCAATCGAGCGCGCAAGGCACAGACGAAGCAAGAGCGACGGCCTTTTTGATCAAGGCGGAGAGCACCTTGTGGTCGGTGAGCGCCCAGAAAGCCATCCTCGAGATGGTCTGCGACGGCGTTTCTCTCGAGAGCATCGAGCGCGGGCGCGTCTTCAACGAGAAGGACAAGTGGTGCGTCGAGTTGGCGGCGGCGTTGTCCTACAAGAGCTACATCAAGAGATACGCCCGCCTCTGCGACATCTCGGAGAACCGCGGGGCGCCGCTCGAAAGCCTCTCCTGGCCCATGCCGAGCTCCGAGTCGAAGATGCTCGAGATTGCCCAGAAGAAGGACATCGAGCATGGCACCGAGGGCGCCCAGCGCCTCAGATTAGGCTCCTGCGCCGAGCGCGTCGGCGAGGCCCTTCCCGACGTGCCCTCCGAGGTCTTCCACCCCCGCGACCTCGTGCCGCCGAGCGACGAGAGCTTCGAGCCCGCCGAGAAGATGCCCGAGGAGTTCCCCCCGGAGTGCCGAGCGATCATCCCATCGAGATGATGCCCCGCAAGACCTTGCAATCCGTCACTTGGCGCCGCGACATGGGCGCGCGAAGGGCATTGACCGCGCGCGAGCCACCGCGCGAGCGGTCGCCAAGTGGCTATGGAGTTCCAAGCGCATTGCCGACGTGGGCCGCGAGCTCCAGGGGCGGAGCTGCATGGGCAAGCGCTCCGAGCATGCCTATACGACCACCCCGCGGGTGATAAGGAGGTTGCGGGGGGCGCGGGCGGGGGGGGGGGCATGGCGACAACTGCGACGATCGGGGTGCTGATGGGCGATGATGGTGTGGATGACGTGGCTCGATGACGTGACCTGCCCTCCCTGCCGAGGACACCGGCGCGCTCTGCCCTGGCGCTCTACGGCGTCGCCGGCCCCCGATTCGCGCGAGGCGCCCCCCCGCGGGATTTCAACGTTCGATGCTTGCGCTTTGCTCTCTCTGCGAAGTCCTCTTAATATCGTTTCTTGCCCCGCTAGGCAGCCGCCAGCTTCTTACGGGATTCGCGCTGAGGGCGCTTGTCGCGGATCTTGTCGTGGATGCGATCCTCGCGGGGCGCGCGCTGAGCGCGCCGCTTCCCAACTTTCTTCTGGCGCGCTGTCTGCGCAGACAACCAGGCTGGTTTACGCAGCCACAACGGTTTGCGAGGGGCCCTCGGTCCTTCGCGCAGCCTCGCTGGGTTTGGATCCACTGCGGACGCGCTGTCAGAGACCGGCGCGCCGCCTGCTTCTCGGCCCGGGGCGCCTGGGGCCACGGCAGGCGCGACAAAGGAAGCTATCCCAACCTGCCCCAGTGAGGGCATGACAACAGGCCGAGCGGAGAAGCCTCGTGGACTGCTGGGCGCCCCTAGCTGCGACCCCCAACGAGGCCGCCAGCGCTCGCAACTCTGCGCGTCGGTCGAGGTGGCACGGGCCGCCCCCGCAGCCAGGTTCTGCGTCGCGGTGGATGAGGCGGGCGATTTAACCGGCGCCTGGCTCGAGCTGGCAGTGCGAGGCCCCGACGCGGGCTCGCGTGAAGCTGCTGGCGCCGCCAGGTCGGAGCTGGCAGCGCTTGGCTCACTCGCGCCCGCACGGGAGTGATGTCGCTGCGGGGCCTGCGGGAGGGCGCGACAGCGCGCCGCCCGGAGCGCCTCCGAGCTCTTTGTGTTCTCCCGAGTCCCGACCCCCGACGAGGTCGCCAGCGCGCGCAACTCATTCCGGTTCATGTTCCGCACGTCGCCAGAGGTGACATCGGCCGCCCCCGCGGTTTGTTTCCGCGCAACCGTGGCGGGTGCGGGCGGCGCTGCCTGCGCCTGGCTCGAACTGGAAGAGCCGGGCCCGCCCGCGCGCGCACCCGGCGCCCCCCGACGCGGGCCCGCGTGAAACGGACGGCGCGGCCGGGCCGGAGCCGGCAGCGCCTGGCTCGCCCACGCGCGCCGGGGCCTGCGCCGACGCGGACCCATGCGAAACTGCCGGCGCGGCCAGGTCGGAGCTGGCAGCGCCTGGCTCGCCCGCGCGCGCCGGGGAAGGCTGCCGCGGAGCGGCCCCCCGCAGCTTGCAACCCTCGCGCGCGTCTCTGACTGCGCGCCACTGTGTCGGCGCCGCCGGCTTCCAGGCGGGGGCTCCAAGACTGCCAGCGTACTTCGTGAGATCCGCCTTCTTCGCGTCACCCACGCGGCCCCCCATCTCGCGGGTAGCCAGGCCGCAGAAATGCGCGAGGAGGGCGCCCTGGGGGGGTAGCGCGACCGCAGCGGGCGCCTTGAGCCGGAGGAGGGGGGCAGCGGGGGGCAGGAAAAGGAGGGGGGGGAGGGGAAGGAGGAGGGGGGGGAGGAGGACGAGGCGGATGGGTGCACTTTAGGCCCGGGCAGGCATGGGTGAGTGCTTCATAATGTACGCGCGCGGACACCTTGGAAACGTCGCCCGCGCATGCAGCTCGGGGCGCAGGGGCGAAGAGAGGGGGGGGGCGCCCCCCCCCTTCGCTGCCCGCGCCGAGGGGCTGCGAGGAAGGGGGGGCGACGGGCCGCGGTGGCCGCGCTCACCTTGCGATTTGATTTTTCTCGGGTTTCTCTGCTGTCTTTTGCGCTTCGCATCCATTTGCTTGGCGGTGGCGATGGCAGGCGAATGTGGATTGGCCGCCATAGGGAGTACGTTGCCGGTCGACGCGCGCGCTCGCTTCTGGTGTTTCGTCAGGGAGGTAGGCATCGAGGACGTCGACGACCTGGCATTTTTCTTTACCACGGTGGAGGCAGCCGCGGCCTCGGGACAGGAGGAGGCGCGGCGGCGAGCTCGGCAGCTCGCGGGGCATCCGCGAGTGGCAGCGTGGCACAGGGTGGCCCGCGAGGCGCAGTCAGCGCCGCC